CACTCTTGGTCAAAATTTTTCAGACCGCCCTCCATAAATCAGAGTGTCTATAGTCGGGAATCCGATTCGAGAGGTTGAGCACATGACTGGAACTGATGTTGCCCGATAGTTGGAGGACGTTTCAGCCTATTTCAGGAAAATCGCGCGATGCAGCCGGGCAATGGGAGGCAACGCGCCTCCGGCGCATGATCAGCGCACGGCCATGCGATCACAAACTCAGAGCGCATGGACATGTGCTGATAAACTCCTAGCTCTGCAGCCGGCAATGGGAGGTCACGGGCCTCCGGCGCATGATCAGCTCACGGTTTAGAAGCGCATGGACATGTGTCTACGATTTCCTAGCCCACGGGCATGCGCCACGGGGGGCTGAGCATCGTCTTCAGCGGAATTCTGCCCACCAATCTACCATCCCCCAACAGTTTGCTTTCCGATCCGCGCGCAATCAAATAATTCGGGGAACTTTCACTTTCGGTTCAAATTTTTCAGACTGCCCTCCATGTATCAGCGTTTCTATAGGCGGGAATAAGACAAAATAAGTCCTCTTCTGCCTTTGAAAGAGTCGCGTCTGCCTTCGCGACTCTCAGTCCGCAGAACAACTTTTATTCGTATCTAAACTCGTTCCTCCTTCCTCATTTCGATTTAAATTTTCATAAAATCCTTTTTCCGAGTCACGAGCGTTCGAGATCAACTCGGACCGCTCTTCCTGCTTCTCTTGGTGTGACGCTCCTCAGGTACATCGTCAAACATAGGCGACTCCTCTTCCTCTGGAATCCCTTTCGCCTTTTCACTGGGCCTGTTGCTTCCAGTGGCATCGGGCGCCTCTTCGGCTGCCTCACTGGGCCTTTCGCCATCGGTGACTTCGGGCGCTTCTTCAACGTCGGCCTTCCTCTTGCTCTTTGTCCAGATCTCTTCCTTACGTGTCTTGAGGACATCGTCAAAAAACCGTGGTGAGCCTTCTTCCACCATGACGCTCATGCGGCAGTTTTCTGCGGATAGTCGATACTTCGCGCGACACCGCGAATGCAAAAAACATCCGAACTGGACGAAGCGCAAAAACTGGTGTAGGGGGATCTCCCCTGAGAGGCTCGTCGCTGTTTTTCGATCCAAGTACCCTTCCAGAATTTCGCCCACCTGGTGGGTGTCTGTGCGATGGTGGCGGCACAGATGTGCTCGGGCCAATTCCCGGGCCACTCGGGCGATGCGGGACTCTGGGTAGGCTGAATGTTGAGTTTTCGTTCTCCGCGTTTCCCACCGGGGGCAAAACCAGCAAGCCGCTCGGCAAAAGCTGTCTCTGTCGGAGAACACAGCGACCATATCGGGAATCTTGATCCAAAGAACGTCATCCCGGACGGTGGTGCTCTTCGCGACAACTGTCAGCAAGCTCGCGAACGACTCATCGACTTCGGGAATCGAGAAGCCGGCCAACATCCGGGTTGACTTAATGATTCGCAGTTCTGACAGGTTGGCGTCCTCCCGAAACAAAAAGTACGACAGAATCGACCCGAGGGTCACAACTCGGTCACGATCCGAATGATTGGCCGGCGTGTAATTCATGACGAGTAGCGGTCCGTCTTTGGGCAGCTTCGCCCGATTCGTCGATATGTCGCAGGGGAAGCGTTCCATGTGCTTAGCCAA